TGTTGCCTTATGAAAAATGGTCATGTTATGCATGTGAGGCGTCTTAGTAAAAACAATAAAAAAAATATAAGATCATAGTCCCCTGATGATGCTTCGAATGTAGCCTTACAAATGATCTTAGTCCCTAAAGAGAAATGCTAAGATATCTCACAAACATTGCTATCATGACTATACGATGACCCACTCCCGTCCCTTTACATCCAAAGATAAGGTTTCTTACCAATCAATGGTAAGATAGCAATATCTAAAGGAGGAGGAAAAGAACAAATACTTTTGAGTAGGTAGAAATATTCTTAGTTGCTTGCTCATCTTCAAACACAAACACCTTTCTAAATGCACCAACACTTTCCATGAAATATTTTCAAAAGTCCAACACTCTGTATACATTCTTATAGAGACGAGAATCATTACAAAGTTTGCCTAAACGAAGACGCTTTTCAAAAATACTTTCAAAATCCACCACAAATCACACTTTCAAACAAAAGCAAATGATCTAGAAAGCAACTAAGAGCCTATAGATAACTATGGATGAAAAGGGTGCTAATACCTTCCCTTTTCATAATCTACCCCCCGAACTCAAGAAAATAATCTCAAAGGTCTTTCCTGTTCTTTTCGCCCTTTCCTTTATTGGATAAAAGAAAAGTCAGTGGCGACTCTTACTATCCGCAATAAATGCGATAAAAGGCAAAAAAAAACCAAGTCAGTTCTCCCACCGTATTACAGGAAGTATTCCTTTCCTACTACCTGTTTATACTTCAAAATTATTTTGTAAATCTTGAGCTTAGGGGGAGCTTCTGAACAAGCTAAAATGAATTTTGGGAGTATAAAACTCAGGGAGAGCTAGTAAGCTAATTGTGCATATGTTTTTATGTGATTAAACCTAGTATAAATTGTGCATCAAAATACATGGTTTTGTAATCATTAAAAAAGGGGCAGATTGTAAGAACAAGATTTGGTTTTGCACCTGGCCCTAGGTTTTGATGATAATGTTACATGGTATCTTATAGAACAATTTAGTACTCTAACAAGTTCTGTCTACTGTGTAGATTTTGCTAAACATGTTCTGACTCTAAAGATAAGGTGTGTGACGCCATCAGGTTCTGAACTCACCACACCCTGACTCTCGAAGAAACTAGTTATATTCATAAGACTCAGTCAAGTTTTAGAATGCTTTTATAACAACGATTCTGATGAATGTTAGTGATATAACTTATGGCCGTGACTAATTTAGAAGAGCTTCTAAAGACTTCTCAAGCTCTGATTCTGTTTGTCCATGTTCTGAAGATTCTGAAGATAGTGTTCTCGAAGAATAAGTTTTGAAGAGTCTAAAGACAAAGCTTATAAAGTCCAAGTGTTAAATACTCTGAAGACAAGGTTCTGGAAGAACATGTTCTGGAGACTATGAAGACTTAGGTTTTAAAAAATCTAGTTTTTGTCCTTCTAAGCATGCTTCATCATCAACCATCAGAAGCCTTTGGAGATTAGAATATAAGATCAAAATTGATTTACATGAGAGAATAGTACAAGGTACAAATGTTCTGACTACCCTGATATGGTGGCCAAGGACATTACTATGGTAATATGTTGTCTACCACCCCCTCACCGACCATTATGCACAAAACACTTGAAATTAAGTATTCCTATTCTACCCTTCAACGAATTTCTTTTCATATATAAAAGGAAGAATTGAAAAAAAATTATGCTCAACAAAACTTACGCTGAAATGCTGCTAAACTCTATTTCAAATATTATTTTGTAAATTTTTGTAAATGCAATGAACTTTTGTTCATTAACTTGCATGCAATGATATTTGTTTCATTAACTTACTATTAACATTGTTGTGTTATTTCATTGTATTCAACTTTGTGTAATCTGCTTTCAAGAAGCAAATATGTAAACACACTCTTTGTCTTTCAACTTTTAAGTTGATAGTTCCTTGAGAGACTAGGGCTTTAGTCAAGATTCTCAAAAAGACATTGACAATTAGTATGTGTGGTTCACAACATTGACAATTTGTCTTTGTTGGGTCTGTAATCAGTTCGGTTATAGTGAAATAAGTCCTTATTTGAGAAGGCAAAATCATATTAGCGGGTGGACTGGATTAACTTTGTTAATAGTGAACCATGATAAAAATATATGTTTCATTTATTTTTATTCTTGAGTTCTTTGTTTTGTCTTGGGACAAATTTGTTTAAATCTAGAAACACAACTCATACCCTATTTTCTTGTGTTCTTCACACCTTCAAAGGCTTTACTCTGGTTGAGTTTATTATCCAGATCCTTTAAGTACTTTAAGGATGTCATCCTTTATGGTAAGGAAGGTACTATCACTTTTGATGAAGTCCAGACGACATTAAAATCCAAAGAACTTTCAAAGGCGAAAGATTTGAAGATTGAGGATAAAGGTGAATTCTTAAGTGTGTCAAGGGGAGGAGGTAAGCGTAAAGGGATGTCCAAATCAAAGAAGTTTGACAAATAAAAAAACCAGTCATTTTAAGAAGGATTGTCCTGAGAGAAAGGTCAATAATGATCCTGAGAGGATGATTATGAGGATGCCGGTAAACTAGTGGTGTTGAGTTTAGAGACTGCAGATAATTGGGTCATATACTCAGGTTACCATTATCACATGTGTCCAAGAATACAATACTTTGAGACTTTGAAGCTGATGCAAGGTGGATTAGTTCGCCTTGGTGATAATAAGGCTTGCAAGGTTCATGATATTGGTATAGTCAGACTTAAAATGTTTGATGTTGTGAGTTTCTTTTTCATAATGTAAGGTACGTTCCAGAACTCAAGCGAAACTTATTATCTATACGCATGTTTGATGATATAGATTATTGCACTAGAGTTGAACATAAAGTGTTGAAGATTTCACATGATGACTTGATTATTTCTATATAAAATATGTGGTCTATATATTTTAGAAGGTTCAAATGTTGTTATTCATTCATCATTAACTAGTGGAGGCATTAATGACAAGAAAGAGCTATGGGATTTGAGGTTAATGCATTATGAATGCCTTGAGGCAGTTTCAGAAGTGTATAATGAATTTTAGAGAAAACAATGGATAAAAATGCATGTGACCGCTGAGTTGTTATTGAGTTTTTGGGGAAGGGTTGATGTCAAAGCAACTTACTTGGTTGGTAGATAATTTCTTCAAAGAAAGAATAGTAAACACCAAGGGATAAACCTGTTAGAAACTATAACGGAGAAAACTCAGTTTGAGGTGGAGTTTCCTACTATGGATACTAGCAGTAGTGAGAGAATGATTACAAATATATCTGGTTATCACTTGACTCGTGATAAGGTAAGGAGGGAGATTGTAACATGTTAAAGGGATGGTTATGCTAGCCTCATGTGTTATGGTTTGAATGTGGCTGAAGAGTTGAAAAATACAGAAGCATGGACCTTCAAGGATGCATTTGAAAGTAGGTGGAGTCAACGATGGTTGAATAATCATACTCATGGTCTTGTTAGATTACCTAGGCAGAAAAGGGTAATTGGAAACAAATGGATGCAAGTGGTGAGATCAAAATTTAAGGGTGCTTTGAATTTGATCAAGGTTATTGATTAGAGTTTCAACATGGTAGAGAACAGTAAGGTTGTCGATGATTAAATTGACATCAATACGGTTTCAAGTATTGGTGGAAATTGTTGAAGTGTTCCTTAAAACCTTTGTTGATGAAGAGAAAGAAAATATATTTTGGAGATTGCATAAACCGCAGAAATCAAAAATTCCAGAAAATTTGTCAAAATGTCGAAAATCAGAAAACAGAAAAAGGGCCAGGTGGCGTCGGAGCCGCGACAGTGGCAGTCGACCAGCGGAGCTCCTTCGAGTGACGGTGATAGCCGAAATCACAGAAGGCGAGGAAGGTTGAAATCAGCACGGCGAATGAGGTAACTAGAAACGTGGCGCCGTCTAGAGTGCAGTGATGATGATTGGTCGGCGATAACACTTTTCTGACGAGCATCAACTGGAGCTTAGTGGTCGGCGGCTTCGCCAGTGATCTCTTATGACGATGGCACAGAGGTTCGTACGACGAGCGGTGGTGCTCAACAGCAAAGTCTGTACGCCCGGGCGTGGATCAGTTCGTCCGATTTCAAGATTTTCTGAAAAGTCGATAGTTTCTCGATTATCATGTTTTAGACTTTTTTGGATCGATCCATGGATCAATTTATGAATGAGTTGTATTTTTTGACTTTGTTTGTTAGATATTTACTATTATAAATATATATTTCTTTTGTGTTTGCAAGTGTGATAATCTTAGAGTTTATAGCAAAAAGATAGAGCAAAAGATTTAAGGTCTTTTCAATGAAAAACTTAGAAAGACAAAAGTTTTAGAAAACAGATATTGACAAATACTTGTTTACATCTTAGATCTTAGATTTGTGTGCTTATATTATATGTCAATCTTAATAAATTAAAAAAAATGACACAAAACACACATTTACAAAAATAAAATACCTATTAAACTTCTTACTCTTTTTTTTTTAAACAAAAACTTCTCACTCTTATTTCTTAAAGAACCAAAAAGAATTAACTTGATGAATTATTATAGCTCATATAATATTAAATACAAATGTACTTTATTATATTTATATAACTAAAACACAAAATTGAATCCAATGATTCTCTAGAATCAAATTGATAATAATTTATTCATTATTTAAAAAATTAGAAATAAAAGTATAACACTTGTTATTATAAAAAAAAAAGATGAAACCCTTTCCCCCAATTCAATTCAACGCCCGACCGGTGCTGACGTTACACGCTTTCCCTCTTTTCATTCTCTCCCATTTCCCCTTTAGATCTTACCTTTCCTCTTCCTCTTCTGCTCTTGGTATTTCCACTTTTCTCTTCAATCTTCCATTCACCACTTCACCAATTATCATCATCATTCTTATCATTATCAAATAAACATGTTTTCGATTTCTGATAATTTTCCACTTTTATGATTGTAGATTAACGCTCGCAGAGGGATTGGTGATTGTTTGCTTCGATGGCTGCTCCTCCTGCTAGAGCTCGTGCTGATTATGATTACCTGATTAAACTTCTCTTAATCGGTGATAGCGGTACGGTTTGTTTGTTTCACTCCTTTACGCTTCTTCAACTATCGTGTTGATTTTTGTTATTTTGTTTTTTGATTTTGATTTTGTTGTTCCGATCTTTTTTATGTGAATCATAGCTTCATGATTTGTTTGTTTAGTAAAAGGGAATGTTAAGATTTGTAGGGTTTCAACATCTTCTAGATTCAACTTTGATTTTGCAGTTCATTTTTCGAATTAGTTATTATATTGTTTGTATTAAAGTTTTGAAATGGAGAAGGGCTTCCGGTGATTTATGTGACGCAAAGTATAGCTTAATCTGAAGGAAAGTTTTTATTGGACTGCGGGAAAAACATGTGATGTTGTATGAGGCTACAGTACGGTAAGACTTGTGATGTTGCACGACAAAATGTTGGGCGGTTAAGAATCAACACGAGAATAAAGTAAGTGTAGCAGAGATGAAGATGTTCCGTTGAATGTGTGGTAAGACTAGACATGATAAGATTGAAAATGAAAGTATTAAAGTGTCGCGTAGCGTCTATAGTAGAGAAGATGGTTGAAAATAGACTTAGGTGGTTTGGACATGTAGAGAGAAGACTTATAGACTATGTGGTAAAGAGAGTACGTCAGAGGGAGATGTAGAGAGAATACCTATAGATTTTGTGGCAAGGAGAGTAAATCAGATGGAGAGAAGCCAAACAAATAGAGGAAGAGGAAGACCTAGAAAGACTATAAGAGTAGTTATTAAAAAAGATCTCGAGATTAACGATTTGGATAGAAACATGGTATTGAATAGAACGTTATGGTGAAAGTTGATCTATGTAGCCGACTTCACTTAGTGGGATAAGACTTGGTTGTTGATGTATTAAAGTTTGAAATTTGAAGTTCAAATCAACTGCAACATCCTTTAATTTTATTTTTACTGCGGGTGAATTTTATTTTATCACTTAAACTGTCTTGCATGTGTCCAAGGAATGTATTGTAATGAATGGGGGAAATTTCTAATTGGAAATTGGGATTTTTATTGTTATCGTTGTTGGATTTGTTTGGTATTGAAAGTGATGGTCACATTTTAGTTTATTGGATTTGATTATGTTGTTGATATTGGCAGGTGTGGGTAAAAGTTGTCTTCTATTACGTTTCTCTGATGGGTCTTTTACAACTAGTTTTATCACGACCATTGGGTAGGTTTCTTTAGTTCAATTATATGCCATGTTGATTTCCCTTTTTCTTCTTTGTTTCTATATGTTGTACTGAGATGATCTGTTGTGTCACTAGATTACTTTATTTTTGTCCTTCAGTATTGATTTCAAAATAAGGACCATTGAGCTTGATGGAAAGCGAATCAAATTGCAAATATGGGATACAGCCGGTCAAGAGCGTTTCCGAACTATCACAACGGGTTAGTGTATATTGAAAGTTCATTTGGGCGTAATTAGAAGTCTAGAATGTTTTATTCTACCTCTGTTGTGATTTTTCATGTGCAACTTTATTATATCTACGGCAAAACTTTACTTTTTAAAGGTAATATCAAATTATGACTATTTACCTATCTATATCTCCTTTTTATTCCCATAAACTGGAAAAGTACTCCGAGTTGTATCTCTTGATAACATTTTAACGTCCTTAACAATCATGATATGGTATATCTCTCTCTCTTGTCAACTATTTAGTTTGTTGTTGGTGCTATGATCTGCAGGATGTGTTGCATAACTCTAAGAGAAACTGTATCATCTTTTAATCAGATAACTCTGTCTGTTTTGGGTATATTACTGATAGAAGAAAACATATTTCTATTTCTTAACTTTATGAAACCATTTAGCTTCAGCTTTGACATGGTTCATTAAAATTTCTGTTGCCAATTCAAATCTCACATGTAGTTTAAATTTTTTCCATTCTCTTTAAACGGGTGTTATAGAATAGTCACTAGATAACTTTTTTATGATCTCTAGTTCGCTCCACATTTTCTTACTGTATTGAGATGGCATGCTTTGTTTATTTGATTGTATATGCAGGATTTCTTTAAAAGGTTGGTTTTAAGCTAACCTTGAAAATCTGGGCAATGTTAGACTTATCAAATGATTGAATTTTTGTCATTGAATTGATCCCACTGTTTATAAGTTATAACTTTTTTCGGCACTATTTATGGATATAGTTGTATAGTGTAGAATCGGTCAGTAGAGGTTATTTATGATAGGGCATTATGGTGGTAATTGTTCTATGTTACTGATTCCTCCTAAAGGAAAAGGCCTTTGTTGCTATAGTAATATTTAGTTGTAGAACGTTGCTTAGTCTTTCAAATTTAAATATCAATTTGCTTCTGCTACAATTTCCATTTTCTAACTGTATTGCGATGACATGCTTTGTTTATTTGATTGTATAAAATATCTTCAAAATATTGGTTTTAGGCCAGCCTTGAAAAATATAGGAAATATCAGACTTATCAAATGGTTGGATGTTCACATTTACCCAATGTTTATAAAGTTATAACTTTTTTTGGCACTAATTATGGATGTAGTTGTATAGTGTAGAATCTGTCAGTAGATGTGGTTTATTTTGGTATATCATCGGGGTATTTGATCTATGTTGCTGATTCCATCTAATGTAAAAGATCTTGTTATCGTAAGATTTTGTTGTAGAATGTTTTCCAGTGTTTCAAATTTAAGTATCAATTTGCTTCTGCTACCATTTCATAATATATGCAAATTGTTGATCTTCTGTCACAAATATTATTCCCTCTTTTGCAGCTTACTACCGTGGAGCCATGGGTATTTTGCTTGTATACGACGTTACTGACGAATCTTCTTTTAACAGTAATTTTCTCTTCCTCACACTCGTTGCATGCTATTCCTCCTTTCATCATTTCCACTCCTTAAATCTGGATTTACTTAAACACGCATTATATTTAGCAAATTCAATTCTTCGACTGTTCAACTGGACAATTTGGCTTACAATGTGTTTTAAGTTCTTTAACATGACAATAAGACTTATTTTATATCGTGTCCAGATCATGTGCTCGAAATTTGTCTTTATTTCTTTCTTTCATGGCAAATAGTCTTATATCATCTTGTGTCCAGATATCAGGAATTGGATTCGTAACATTGAGCAGCATGCTTCTGACAATGTTAACAAGATACTGGTAGGCAACAAAGCTGATATGGATGAAAGCAAACGGGTATATCATCTATCATCCTTACTTATACTCTTGCCATTTTTTGACGTGCTTATACGCGTTGCGCACATATATAACCTTTTATGCTGTGCATTTTATCAATCAATATTCTATTTAGGCTGTGCCAACTTCTAAGGGTCAAGCGCTTGCAGATGAATATGGTATCAAGTTTTTTGAGACTGTAAGTAGCTCTAAATACTCATATTGAAATTCCACACATAAACTCATCTGCTAGTACTGAGATTTTAATTGTACAGAGTGCAAAAACAAATCTGAATGTCGAGGAGGTTTTCTTTTCAATAGCTCGGGACATCAAGCAAAGACTTGCAGACACTGACTCAAAATCTGAGGTTTTGTTTCGGACTTTTCTACTAGTTATCATGGATTGTCTCCTGACTTCTTTGTTTTGAATCCTTTTTTGATTTCCTTCTAATTGATGAAATGCGCAATTTCATGTTTAAAATTAGATCATCGAACTAAAATTCCCTCTCCATGCTGAATTCTCTCATTAGTTCGCCACTAAGTTTTTCATTTTGTTCTTTGCAGCCCCAGACAATCAAGATTAACCAACCAGACCAGGGAGCAGGGGCTGCTCAGGCGGCCCAAAAATCTGCATGCTGTGGTTGAGGGCATACATTTCTGAGAAATTTAATTTTGTCAATGACTGTCATTAGTGCCTGTATGATTCATATTATTTTAACAGTTGCTACTCATTGGGTGTGAATGGTAGATTTTCCCTGTTGGGAAATTAATTATGTCAATTTGTTGTTGCATAAACTAACTTTCAGGAGCTTGGTCATGCACACCGTGCCTTTCTCGAAACCAAGAAGGCTCAAAGCATGAACCACAGACTGCACCTGACTTATGGTCATGGTGTTTGTTGTTAACACTTATGCTATTCTTAAATTTCTGAATATGTGTGAATATAGATCAAACCTAAGTTGTTAGACATCCACATCTTCATTATTTAGTTTGGAGTTTTCAGAAAAATAGTTAATACCCTTTGATTTCAAATACACAGCTAACATGTCGAAATGAGAAACACTGGGTCTGTTTGTTTTTCCTTTTTAAAAAAAATGATTTTTATAGTGTTACATAATGGTGTAAAAATAAATTTACAAAGAAAATTTTCATAAAAGTTTTGAATCAAAACTTGGTTTGAATAGTTATCTTTAAAATGTTATTTTAGGTATTTCATCTTATTGAAAAACTTTTTGGATATCAAAATTTTAAAAAATCATTTAATTTGAAGTTATTTTAAATAGATTTTTATAAAAAAATGTTTTTAAAATACAATTTTTTATAAAAAAGTGAGATTTTGACAGTGTTAATGTATATTTAGGTCGTATGTTAATGTATATTTAGGTCGTAGGATATTAAAATTAGTGTTTCAATTTAGAAAGAAAATTTTTTTTTGTAATATTTTAAAAAATGATTTTGTAAAATTTATTTTCAAAAAAAAAAAAAAAAACTATTTTAAGTATGTTTGAATGGATTTTAATTTAGTTTTTAAAAGTTATTTTTAAATCAATTTTTTTAAAAAAAGTTTTGAAGAATAAAAATAAAATAAAACATGTTTCATAATTGTTTTGGATCAGACTTGCATTTGACTCAACTTCGTACGAGGTCCAATCTAACTATGTTGTTTGAGGAGGTCTGTTGATTGAGTCTGTCCTCAACTATGTGAGGCAGTAATCTCACTCTTCGTGAAAACACAGCTACGCCGTACGAGGATAAATTCAGAAATCTCGAGGAGGCTCGTCGTTGGTCAGGAGCACCTCGCGAGCATCCTCCGCTCTTCTCGTCGACCAAGACAAGCCCTCCTCGACGACCTCACAACTGGCGGGAAGGGCCCACGACGAGGTAAGGACACCGCGAACCTCCTCGTAGGGTTGACTCATCACACCTCCGGATATCACGGAGTCCTCGTAGTCTCGAAAAGATCGCATTCATATCTTTCTGACTATTCGGGGGAGTCCATCTAGGTTGGGGACCACGTGCTGGTCCCACTACGCACGTAGAACCTGACAGTCTCCATTTTGGGCATGCTTGCCCAGTCAAACGATGGATACCTTGGTCCAGCGCTGGAGCTATAAATACTCTCTCTCTTGAGAGGGTCATATATTATTCTTTCATACTCACTCTCATACTTGCTCGCACTGCTCTGAACCTTACTTTGGCATCAGAGTGTCTTGCAGGTACCTCCAACTCACTTCTAGTTGCTGCTCAACTCACAGCTCGTAGACCTTGGCGATCCATTCTGGTCAGGTACGATCAGTGGCGCCATTTGTGGGAAACAAGCTTCCCCATCTTTCATTAACCCAAGACTAAAGCAATTCTTCAAACTCTTTTAATTGTCATGGCCGACCCAGCTGCCAACAACAACCTAGATGCCATCTCGCCGACCCCAACAACAACGTCGTCGACAACATGGGCAACAATAACAACAACGGGAACGACGTCGACATGGCCGGTCTCATGCAGAATTACAGATACGGCATGACCGCCTCTTCATCAACACGCTCTCGACCACACAAGGGCACCCATCCGCCTCAAAACTACGAGCCGAACGTTTTCCAGGAGGTCCCCGTCCCTCCGAGCGTTAATGCCACGACCAGAGCTCTGTTCGCGACCATTAACCAGAAGAATTACTTGATCTTCTCGCAAGGTGAGCGACTAAGGGTGCTCGAGGACTCTCGTCGAGCCCCCAGAAGACATAGAAGACCTGTCACTCCACCTCCTCGTTAGAACGAAGACCGTCTTCAATCTGCCCCGCGGAGACACAAATGGGACAGGTCGCGAAGCCTCTCTCCCCGAAGGAATGACCGACGCCCCGCGCTGGAGAGAACCATTCCCGAGGCTACTGGGAGACATGACCTCACCCCCCGCACAGGGAATAACGATCCCCTGAAAACAGAAACAAAGACAACATAGAAGTGCATCCTCGACCAAGGGATCCTCCCCAGGGCCAAGGACATCACTACGACCGCCACTACAATTAGTCTCCTTCCCACTCCCCCTACAGAAGCGACGAAGACGACCCCCGCGGTCCTTTATCACAAGTAATCATGGAGGCGCCCATTCCCAGGGGAATGGAGAAGTCCCCCCAACTGAAGGAATATGACGACATTGTTGACCCAGTCGACCATATCGACAGGTTCGAAACAATGCTCCACTATCATAACGTCGCAGGACCGATCAAATGTCAGTTGTTCCCCACGACCTTAAGAAAGACTGCAATGGACTGGTATAAGAATCTTCCCCCAGGGTCAATCACCTCATGAAGGAACCTAAAGAGCCAGTTCATCAGCTCCTTTACAGCGTCTCGTCGACACCTAAAGACTGAGGCCGCCCTTGAGGCTAACGTCCAAAGAAGCGACGAAACCCTCAGAGAATTCATCGACCGGTTCAACCGTGAGTCCATTCAGGTCCCGTGCACCGATCACATGAATAAATATTTTCTCGAGAGAGGGCTCCTCTCGGGCACAGAGTTTAGGAGGGCCGTTGGCATCGAACCACCCCGGACTTTTGATGCTCTCCTTGAAAAATCTAGGGCATATATGGACTACAAGGAGAGGGAAGCGGCTAACAGAGCCCGCGATCCAAGAAATCATGGATCGACCAACACCATGCAACACCAGGACACAGGCCCTCCTCGACGAACAAGCGAGAAGAGAAGGGAGGATAAACCGCGTGATCCACGCAAGCATAAGGGACCCGCATGCCGACTCACCGAATACACTTCGCTGACTGCTTCCCGCGAGTGCATCCTGACGGAGTACACTAATACGGACTTTAAGGACGGCGGCGTCAGGAACAAATACTGTCACTACCACTGAAGTCACAGGCACCTGACTGAAGACTATGTCCATCTCAAAGATGCCATCGAAACCCTCATCAAGGGTGGCATACTCGGGAAATATCGACGCAATGACGCCCCTTGTCGAGATGTCCGCGAGACAAAAGAGGTCGAGGAGGACACCCGATCATCGGATGAGACGACCCCATCCAGATAGCTTTCTCCGTTACAAGGACAAAGGTCTTCTACGTCCCTGACAGATACGAGGAAGAACCTTTGTCCATGCACAGCAGGTGGGAGAAATTACCCTCCTCCATATTTATAACTGGCGGGGGGTTTAACGACATCTCCATAAACTCCGCAAAAATAAATCTTGACGAGTTGGTCGACGCAGCCCCGACTCAAGCGGTGACATTCGAGAAGGTCAAGGGCAGATCATAACCAATCACGTTCTACCTTGAAGAGTTGCCTGAAGGGTTCCCTAACTCGAGCATCCCTCTGCTGGTGAGGGCAAGAATGGCTAATTTCGACGTTCACCGCATCTTGGTCGAAGAGGGAAGTTTTGTCGATGTTATGTACAACCATATATTTCGAACCTTGAAGCTCGCCGACACTCACCTTTCTCCATACGCGGGGTACGACCTGCAAGGCTTCAATGGCTCGACCTCTAGACCATGGAGGTATGTTGAACTTTTCGTCACCTTCGGGGAGGAAACCGTGTCCCGGCAGATCAAGGTGAGATTTCTGGTCATCGAGTGCTCGTCTCTCTACAACTGCATCCTTGGGAGACCAACGCTGGCCGAATTGACCATTGTGCCTTCCACCGTCCATCTAAAAATGAAATTCTACACAAGGAGAGGACGCGTCGCCACCATCCACGACGACATCTCAACTGCCCGAAGATGTTTCAACGCAGCTTCTAAGGGACAGAGTACAATTGACACCGGGGCGTGACCTGCCAAGATAGTTGCTACTGCTCAACCTGAACCACAGCCTGTCAAAATAGAAGAACAAAGGGCTCCACCCAAGGTCGACTCCATCTCGCTCGACACGCGCTTCGACAAGGATGAAGCCCCCAACGGCGAACATGAACACCTCCGACCAATCCCAGACGGAGACTTCGAGTTCGTCCTCCTCGGTCAAGACCCTCAGAAAGGCCTGAAGATCGGCACCAGACTCTCTGACTTGGAGAGGAAGCAGATCAAATTTTGCTTGAGGGAGAACGCGGACTTGTTCACATGGAGCACCGCGGAGATGCCCGAACTCGACCCCGAGGTCGCCTGTCACCAATTGGCCATTGATCCAGCCGCTAGGGCAGTCGTACAACGTAGACGTATGCAGTCTCCCGAGAAAGAAGAGGCTGCTGAAAATGCTGTAAAAGGCCTCTTATAGGCTAATTTTATTTTCGAGGCCCGATATTCAACCTGGATCTCAAATGTTGTACTTGTTAAGAAAAATAATGGAAAATGGAGAATGTGTGTTGACTATACTGATCTTAACTGGGCATGTCCTAAAGACACTTTTCCTTTATCTAATATTGACATGTTGGTTGACAATTCAGCCGACTATAAAATTTTATCATTTATGAAAGCCTACTCGGGCTATAACCAAATCCCAATGGCGATGAGTGACAAGCATTTCACTGCTTTTATGACCAGCTCGAGCAATTACTACTAAAATGTAATGCCCTTCGGCCTGAAAAACATAGGGGCAACGTACCAGCGGATGATGAATAAAGTCTTTTGCAAAGAGATCAGTGATATGCTCGAGGTATACATGGACGACATGATCGTCAAATCTCGAACAAATATCGATCACGTTGCCCACC